CCCTACTAGGTAGCAAGAACAATGACATCTTATCAGTCTTAGATAAGTCGCACATAGATTTTTTCTGAAAAAGATTGTAAAATCTTCCTCTGTCTTTTCCTTCGCCTTCCAAATAATTTATAGGAAGAAATTAAGAGGATGTAATGTGCTGAAAGCAAATCCAGAGCTTCACTATATCATTCATCACCAATATCAATAGCGAGGTGCTCATAGCTAACAAAACAGACATTAATGTTCTATTTTGATATTGGTTTCAACAAGAAAAATGAATGAAAATCCATAAAGAAAACCTTTCTTCATTTTTGTACAGAGGGGATAAGAGGAAGAAAATGATTATAGTACCATAATTAAGGAAGATTTTATAATTTGTTTTGACGAGGTAGAAGAAGATACAGCAAGGAACCCTTCACAGACAGAAATCCAGGATATCGAAGAAACCCGTGCAAAGAGTTGCAATTAGCATATTGCATAGTAAAAATCTCATATATACTTTTATAAAGCCTCAAACCATTTGATAATTAATTCTTAAGCCCATAAACTGATAAAGAAGTCCCTACCACGGTGACCAAAAGTCCCAATTTTCTCATCCTATTGATAATGAAATTGATCAAAAATCCTCAATGACATTCATTTCATCCATTGCTCAATTCATAAGAGAAATACTTAAATTCGTTACGGACCACATTCCAATTCACATCCTAAGAATTCAGTAAAACAAAACAATCAGAAGAATAAAATTAAAAAATCAAAACCTAAACCCTAAATCAAAACTTGACAAAAACAAAAAAAAATTTGAGTCAACCAACACCAGATCCCCTCGGCAAATACTCACAATCAATCATCCAAATACGAAAAGATCAATAACCCAATACCTCGAGCTCGGCAGATTTCATGGCGATTGGAATACATACTAGGACGATACCAAACATGGCGAAAGCAGTGTTGCGTTTCCAGTGCTTTGGCCGGCAGTTAGGCCCACCCGACATACTCCACACCTTTGCCCGAAAGTCTCCTCCGTGTCCGTGGGCCCCATCTACGTGGTGGTGCTCTCCTCCTCCACCCATTCTCTCGTGCACTAAGGATGAGTAGTTCGACTTTTACAGCTAAGAGGTGTGAACGACAGAAACCAGAATCTGCAACTATATGAATTTGATTAAGTCGGGTTGTCGGGTGGGTACAGCCCAACAAGTTTACGGGCGGGTGGGCAGACAGAAAGGGCTTACTGGGCTTGTTTCCGTAAGCAAACTGGGTCCACGCCCTGTGGTAGATTGATTGATTGATTGATTACACAGAATTAGAGTCAGTAAATAGTAAAAACTACTAAACTTTTACCTAACTTGCATTGGGGCACAAAACTTTAATTAGGTACAATCAAGTCATTGAACTTTAATCTGAGTAGTAAGTACCTGTACAACCTATTAGCATCCACCAGACAATTTAACTATAAAATCATATAGTCTTCTGCAATTTGTAACTCAAAAACTACAATGAGGATATCTCATAATAAAATTTCTTTCCTTTTCCTACATTCGTCGTTGTCACATTTCTATTTTTTATTAAAAAAAAAAAAACTCTACAATATTTACAGCATGTTTGGTCGTACTTAAAATCCAATTAAAATTGAAAATATAGTTGTTATTGGATCTCACTCGTCTAATAAAAGTCAATAATAACAACTAATTTTTCAATTTTAATCCGATTTTAATCTCTATCGAACACGCCCCTAATATTTTCAATAATAGGTCATAGACACATTCTAAGTTCAGTATTTGAACAAAGGATGCTAGTCAATCTCACACTATTCAAGTACAAAAAAGACGAGTCAGAATAAAAATACTTTTTATTTTCTACCTCTATGGTCGTCGCTTTTCTATTTTCTTTGAGAAACTCGACCAGATCCAAAATTTTCAGTAGTAGGTTGTAGACACATTCCTATGTTCAAGATTTGGACAAAGGAAGTTATGTTCAGCTTGTGAATTGTTTGGATTGAACGAGGAGTTGAAAGATGGTAGAAAGAAGATTATTTCTAATGTTTTGTTTGGATAAAAATTAAAATTTTAATATAAATATAAAATTTGTGATTGATGAGTTGTGAATCCCATAAAATTAGTAGTTGAAAATAAATTTGAAATATATTTAGTTTGGAGGATCCAAACTGTGAATTATGCAAAAAAAAAAAAAAAAA